AATTGTGTAATTAACTTGAACTGTTGTGTATTTAACTTGAATCATTGTGTATTTAACTCAAATTTTGTTACAGTAGGCTCTGTTCTTAATGATGGGTCGTCCTTAAACCAGGTGTTCTTAACCTGAGGACTACCTGTATTTGCAAGGCAGTATTTTCCCATGTATATTTATTTATTTACAGGTAGTCCTTGTTCAGCAACTGCCTCGTTTAGCAACTGTTTACAGTTATGATGGTGATGGAAAAGTAACTTTGTGACCAAGCCTCGCATTTACGACCTTTGCAGGTCTGTAAAGCAAAGGAAGGCTAAAGTAAGATAATAAACACAGTTGCGATTTCACTTAGCAACCACTTTGCTTAATGACTGAGTTGCTGGTCCCAGTTGTAATTGCTAAACAAGGACTACCTGTATTTAAAAAATGTATAAGGCAATCCCTCTAACAATTTGTGACTCTGGGTGTTGTACAAAAGAAAACAACAACAAAAATAAATACCAAAACCAAAAAAAACAACAACCCCAAAACATAATCAACACATAATTGAGGCTGGCAATAAAAACATATACAAACATCACAGATAGGCTTATCCACCATTGTGGCCCAATGCGTAGGAAAAAGCCAGGTGTTCATAGCTCATAGCAATTTGAACATTGGGGGGAGCTCATTCCAGAGGGCAGGTGCAGGAACAGAGAAGGCACATTTCCTAGGTCCCATTAGGTGGCATTGTTTCAGAGAGGAACCTGGAACATGCCCATTCTGTGCAACCTTGTTGGGTAGGTATGATATTGGGTTGCTTTACTTACATTACTAATTTTATACACTGAGTGTGATGTTTTCCTTATTTAATTTTGGATGGCTTATTTTATTTTTATAGCGTAATCAGCTTTAGTGAGAAATTGCATCTTACAGGCTTTACACTCTTTTGAAGCAGCAAGTTTTCTGTGTTCTAATGCATGTTAGGCATGAAAGACATATGTTCATGCATTTCTGTGTGCATGCATACAATCTGTTTTAAATGATGGGCAAAGGATATCTGTGTTTCTCATATGCTTGCTGGAAAAAAAGTTAATTTTAAAATCTTTAGCAGACTCTGGGCATGAGTTGTGGAAGGAAGGATAGCTTTTAATTAGATGATCTGAGGAATAAACAGGGTTGTGATACTAATGATTTTTAATTGTTTAATTGACAACGGATTGTGTAAAACAGAAGTGCCCAACCTTTTTTAGTATGAGAATTGCACTTGGTCTTGAAGGACATACTGAAAATGGGTGGACGTTGGGACAAAACTGATCTTGGTTTAATTTAATTTTCCTTCTAACACATTAAAATTTATGTTAGAACAATGGCAACGTTTGATGGGGTTCTGGGGCCATTTATGGATAAAGGCTCACAACTCAAAATGTGCATTTCCACCTTTGGGGGGCATTGCCTATATTTGGAACATTAAGAGCACACAATAAGCACTTCTACAAAATGGTTGTCATGGAGGACAAGACTAGTTGCAAAAAAGCCATAAACTGATAAAGATGTTTCATGCTGTCACATAAACACCAAGGATGCTCCCCACTGTTGCCTCATGTTCTTCTATTTTTTTTCCCAGACATACATTATTCTCCTAAAGAAAGCATCAAATTGCTGCCATTTGAAATGTATATGGGAGGCCCAGAGGTACTGCTGGAAATAAAAATGACTTCTGAGGCTAGTGATTTGTTCAGCAATGTCCCATCTTCCATTTTAATTTTTTCTAATTAAAACCTAAGCTTTCTAAGGAAGTCAGATGGGGCATTATAGCAGTAGCAAAGGAGGTGTCTGCGGGCACAGTAGTTCTCATAAACCCTTTTTTAGTCCTCAGACTTAAAATATGAGAACCTAGCAGTAAAATTCCACATTCAAGCTTCTAAAGAATGAAAATAAATAAATAAATAATCAATCAATCAATCAATTTTTTTTTTTTTACCAAAGAGAGACTAAAGCATTGAGGTGTTAACTGCTGCTGCTGCTTCATGAAATTATCATATTTTTCAGTGGTCTTTTTTATGTATCTTGTTTTCATTAAACCTGTAATTTTGGAAATGCTTTGGGCTACATATTAAAGGAACAGAAAACAAAGCAGAATAACCCAAAAGGCAATCAGTAACATTGTATGAGTATTTTTAAAAGCTGCACAATAAACCATTTCTTTCTTGTTCAAGGAAACTGATTTCCTCCATTTGTTTTTAGTTTCTATAGTAATGGGGATTCCAACTGTCAAGAGAAAAGTAAAATCTTACCTTACTGAAACTCTTCACTCGCTGATTGATAAGCTGTCGCCAGAGGAGAAATTGGATTGTGTTATGATCGTTTTCATAGGAGAGGTAATTCAAATATTATTTATTTATTTGATTTATATAGCTCCCCATCTCACATACATGACTCTGGGTGGCTTAAAATAAAATAGAAAAAAAAATAAAATACATAATATAAAATAAAACACATACTGTAGCAGCCAGGCATCATAAAATAACCGTCAACAAAGCCAGGAGATGGTCTCTATCACACTTCCAGGGTCTCAGACCCAGGCACGAAACCAAGTTTTTAAGGCCTTGCAAAAGGCCAGCAGGATCAGGCTAACGTAATCTCAGGTGGAATGGTATTCCACAGGGTAGTTGCCATGGCAGAAAAGGCCCCCCTCCTGGGCCCCACCAGCCGACACTCCTTAGCTGATGGCACCTGGAACTTGCCCCTCCTGCCAGACAGGGTGGGATGGATAGAAACATTTGGGGAGGGATGGTCCCATAAGTAGCCCAGACCCAAGCCATTAAAGGCTTTAAAAGTAACTACCAGCACCTTGAATTGCATCTGGAAGCACACTGGAAGCCAATGTAGCTTGTGGGGCAGTGGTGTCACATGTGCTGAAAAACCAATGCTATTAACTGCCCCCACCCCCACATTCTGCACCAGCTGAAGCTTCTGAATGGTCTGCAAGGGCAGCCCCATATAAAGCATGTTGCAATAGTCCAATCTGGGGGTCAGGAGGGCATGAGTGACTGTGAGCAGGGTCCCCTCAGTCCAGGAATGGGTGCAACTGATGCACACCTGAAGCTGTGCAAAGGCCCTCCTAGCCACAGCTGCTACTTGCTCCTTCAGCAGGAGCCATGAGTCCAGGAGGACCCCCAGATTGAGCACCGTGTCTATCTGGAGCAGTGCCACCTCATCCAGAACCAAAGATGGAAGGTCCCCAAAACCAGAAGGTCCAAAAATCCAAAGCCACTCAGTCTTGCTTGGGTTCAGCTGAAGCCTGTTGAGCCCCATCCAGGCCCCCACAGCCTCCAGGCACTGAGACAGAACCTACACAGCATCCCTTGGGCAGCCTGGGGTGGAGATGTAAAGCTGAGTAGCATCAGCATACTGGTGCTACTTCACCCCACACCATAGGATGACCTCACCCAGTGACTTCATGTAGAGGTTAAACAGTTGTTTTTTTTTTAAATTCAAAACTCAAATGCAGTGCATTCAGAAAGTATTCAGACCTTCACTTTTTTTCAATTTTGTTATGTTGCAGCCTGATACAATAGTTCAAATTCATTTTTTTTCCTCATTAATCTACACTCAGTACCCCATAATGACA